ACCAGATATATTGGTAACCAGAACATCGAGTGAACTCCGGGTGTAGACCCTTCGGGGCTACTGCCGGTCCCAAGCCCGGATAAAGTAGGAGGGTTGGGAATAGAACGGGGCTCGCGAACACATCCCGTTAAAAAACTAACTCGCCAAAAAACGCCAACCAGAAGAAGTATTTCAAACCATTTTCACTCTGCCCTGGGAGTTAGAAGAAGAATTACGACGTCGAGTGATGGAAGTCGATTTCCCTCGGAAGTCACGTGGCTGATGCCTATTCTGAAACCAGAGCAACCATTCCTTTAGGTACATGGACAGAACTAAAAAGGGAAGCCCAGGAAAGAGTTGATTGGAGAAAACTGGTGGGCGGCCTGTGCTCCATTGGGGGTACCAGGCTTAACTAAGTAAGTAAGAACGTCGACTGAGTGCATTGACAAGAGTGTGAGTGATCAGGCCAGCTTTCGCCAAGGTTGATTGAAGTCGATGGTACCAACAGGGAAATGGTCGGAGGCGTGGGCTCAGGATAAAAAAAATTAGGGAAAAAGAGAAAGGTGTAGCATACAAGTAATATGAGGATAGTGTCCTATCGCGTGTTCGCTGTTGATTGGGATATTTGTCGCGAAAGCGTATAGGTAGGGGTACGCGGCGACTGGAACGTGAGACGGTAGTCTCGTGCGTACCTCGTAAGCCTGCAATCTCATCCGAAGTTGAGGGCTGCGTGGTCTGCTGATCTGGATGTTAAACCGGAGTCTCATCCGTAGATAGTGCAGATGACGCGTGCTGTTGAATGGAATGTGAGAGGGAGGTCTCTTATGCATCTAGAGTGGGATCAAAAGAAAAAATAAGGATCCCGCTAGTGAGTTTAACGAGTCCAGCATTAAATCTCGATTTACCAGGTACGGCACTGTCACTGACGTGTGCTGGTATGAGGCGATCAATGCTGACTGTGTCCACCAAACTTGAAGGTCTTTTCGTGACGAGAGATCACGTGAAAAGATCCTTCGTAAGGTTGTTGAGTACCGAATCTATCCGTAAGAAAACTTGCGGACAGGCAAATAACTCTCGAGGGAGAGCGACCTGTCGATGCTATATACAAGTTCACACCGGAGGCAGTATTCGCATCTACGCAGATAGTCGTTGGACGTTATCTGGTGTACCTAAAACCGCTGCTCCTTGATGTGAAAAAATTCCCCAGGCAGATGCAATGTCGTGCCGTATACAAGTTCGGAGGCGGAACATTGGATATCTGCCATTGCTGCTCCGTAATCGCCATGTCGTCCTCAACGAATGCCATCTTTCTGCAAACCGAGTGCAGGAAGGGGTCTTAAGGACTGTGAGAAAGCAAATAAACTGAAAACTCACGCTTGGCGAGAATATAACATGAAATAAATAGTAATGCAAAAAATATACATATTACTGATTTGGTACATATCTGTTTGCGCGTTAAAAACCATGGATTTGATATTCGACGAAGTATCGATTAACGCAGCCTACGTGAATGGAATAGCAATTCATAGAGCTGTAAGGAATCGATACCGAGTACGGCTATGGGAAAATCAGCAGGGATGAACGTCTACAGATACTGTCGTCGATTATTCAGTTTGATCGTTAGCTGTCGTGTACCGTAGGTAGGAATGACAGAGCCATTCACAGCGCGTGGTCGAAGCATCGTAGCTTATGACTTACTGCTACCAAACGATACGACAGAAACTTGGACACTTGTGGCCACCAAGTACCTAGCGTTAGTGCAAAAATCGTGCACGTAAAATAACTAACAACCTGAAGTGACGGGGAGGATACAGATGAAAACGCATTGACCTGCACCTCGGAGTCTATTATTATAGCTATCTACCATTTCGAAACGCTGTTGCAAGTACAATATATATTAAAGACATTATTAATAGTATTGCAAAATTATAAAAATGGTGATAGATGAATAATAGACTCACAGTAACTGACTTCGTTTGAAAAAACGCCTGCTCACCAATTTTGGTGGTGAGAGATATCAGATAGTCTATGATCACCACTAAATGTTCCATATTATCCCATCATATATATCAAAATAAATCCATGGTTTAATGTTTTATTGAAGGAGACAGTAGGCACTACATGGGGAGCAGTAAGTTAAGAAAAATGTCAAATGACTTCCGAGGTTTTCACCCAACCCACCTTATGACATGTTACGGATGTATTCCTACGTCACTAACAATTATGTCAGTGCCTCGAGGCTGCATTTGAAGGACCCTGTAAAGTTCACCGCAAAGGTGAGTATAATAAGATTGGTAATAGCGTGTCTAAAGATAATACATAGTACATAGTCCCCACGGTTATGATACGATCCCCAATTACTAACGACCACAACGAAAGTTTGCTAGTAGACGACGTTCAGACCAGAAAGACGCCGTGGAAGAACTATGAGACACCCAGAGCATGAAAGAGACAACCATTGCTTGGACACTTGACAAGCCCATTACTCCCTTATCTCATTTCTTACAGTCCACAGCAAGTTAACTGCATTTTCAACCTTCATTGTGTCCAAGACTCAAGGAAACATTTCTCAAACGTGTTTTACACATTTTGGGGAAATTAAACAATTTGAAGCATTTTTTTAGATCCTCACACATACATCAATTTTCTGTCAGGTTTCTCGCCGTTGTATGATATATGTGTGATAATATATGTAGAATCCTTTTTGAATGTTTTGTTGTTCCGAAAATCCCTCCATGTTTATATATTTTTGTTATGATATGACTGACTTTTTCTGTTGACATTTTGGTATTTTATTTGATTCCATTTTGAGATTTTATCATTGTATATTGTTACTATTTCTATATTTTGTACTTATATTGGAGTTTTTATGTTTGCTTCTGAACTGTACACATGTTGTTTAAATTTGATCTATAATATGGCTACAGCCACATTTTTGGATTTGATATCGTCGCAGTATACTAGCTTCACCTAGTCTTTGGAACTCGGATACTCATCAGAGTAATTTCGAATTGGAAGACGTAACAATTGTTAGACCACTTTCTCCCAGATTTATTGTGTTTTGAAATTCGACTAAGAGAAGGCGCGTTCGGCATACGTCTATTGGAGTCGAATTGAACTACTACGGTAGAAAATTCAACTACAATATAGAGGATCCTTTCCTTTTGCAGGTTTTATTCACTTAACGCAAGTACGAATATGTTTTTGTATGACCAAAAATTTTATTCTCTTTTACATGACGACTGGAAATAGCAACAAAAGATGAACTAGGGGAACCGAACTTTTCATTAAAAATTGCTGCCGACAGTATGCTATCAAGATACTATTAATTAACGTCACACATATTGGATTCGGATTTCTGGATGGTCACGTCTCAAGGTAATCACTATATATCAGGAGAGGGTGAACTTTTGTGGTACTTAAATATTCAAGACAAATAGTTCTATAAGTCTTCGGCATTGGGGCTGACCTCATTATTTTAAGTATACACACGCCAGCTTAGGTCTTACGATCACAAATCATCGCTTATGCCGTGCTACGCATTCCATACACCAATAAACTAGCTTGATTATCTCAATCACCGACATTACGACTGCCCTTCATATGAAAATTCGACCTCTATTTCGAATTATGGACTGGCTGAGCTCGTGTAAAAGACAAAAGCGTTGCCATATCTCAAAAATTAGTGACATCTTAAAAATTGTTCAAAGACTCAGCAACATCAAGATATTAGGTAGGGTTCAGTGTTCTCGAACAGTGGTTGTAATGATTTTTAATAAACTTGAAATAGAACAACATAGGAAATCGTGAAAACACTTGCTTGGTGGCGTTGTAGGCGTAGTATTTACTTGTCGATATTAAATTCACTTGTTTCCGTACTTTAGACAGACATAAATATTTCAACCATGAGATCAGAAAACCCGCATTGCAAAATCATCTGTGAAGCTGATGTTGTATGGAGAGTGAACAGGAAATAATCAGAAGACGAAAACGTTAAAAATGCGGTCGAAAGTGCAATTTTAGGCTACTTGAAATTCATGCTCTGCTGAACATATCAAAATCAAAACCACAAAAATGGGGTGATTTAGATGATTTATTGCCTTGGTTCAAAAGTTACTACTCGGAATTAGTTTGTTCGTACGAACTTCTAGTTCAGCATCGTATATTCTGTTAGTCGTCCTTATCTGGAGCGATGAGCTGTCAGCTAATACTTCGTACTTTTGCACTTAACATATTTGATTTATTACAAAGCGATTGTTACATTTTTCATACAAATATTCATATTAAACACGCCAAACCATCCCAATGTGAGCATCTTACCGATGCATCACCACCACTCCCCTCGAGGCAATCCTCGAAAGATTGCACATCAAAGAGCGAATACTCAGATTCGTGCACACTTTTTCTCATTGCGAGTCATCGCAACTAGGAATGCTCTCCCAGCCGAGGTAGTTACAGACCCCTCAGTGGACTGCTTTAAGAAGAGACTTGATAATCACGTACTCACATACGGACCATCATCTCCCTCTTGGACAAGCTTTTCATGCTGCATATCTTGAGACCTGCTAGTTGTGGCCATTGCCGTCTCCTCAGATCACTCAATTAATCTATCTCGCCTATTATCTCTGTTTCCTCTCCCTTGCTTACACTTCGGTCCTCTCTCACAATCTTCACTACCAATTAATAAACTAAATTCATCTATATATTACTCAGTTCTGAAATTTTATTCATATTAGCATTAGAATTTTATCCTTATTACCCTTATTACTCTCGACATTGCAACTAACTGATCTCCGGTTTGGTAATGTGATGGCTGCTAGTATCCAGAAAACCTACTACCCTGAAACAAACGTTTTCATTCAAATCCCGAGACATACAAACTCACAACCAACTGCCAACTGACTAGAATTAGACAGTCGAGTGGCTAGACCTCCATCCATTGGACATTACCGAACACCTGGAACCGTACCGAAAGAACAAGAATCGAGAGCGAAGAAATCAAATTGGTTTACACTAGCTCGTGAAAAAGATATTGGATATTGGATTAGATTATTCTGGCGTCCGGATTTCCTAGCGTAAAACAATATATAAAGACCAGAACGTTCTCTTCAAGGGAGTTACATCAGACATCCTGCCAAACTTTTAAGACGACCTACTTTTCAACAAGGCCCAAAACAGTCTATCTAAGTGGCATACATTTTCCATACAATAGAACCTTTTGGAAGTCAAATTGGATATTGTTAAAGATAGAATGACCGCTCGAAAATAACGCTACAAAATATGCTCAGTCAAGGTTACCAGATTTTAGCTGAATTGTTAGTGTATTATCGATTTTTCTAACCTAATCTCCCAATAAAGGACCATTCTGAAGTTAAAAAACCTTTCTGGAGTTATTGTTAGTCCCTGTGAAACTGATCCGCTCAGTAGGCATTAGAATAGCATAACTAAATTTTAGAATGGCTTGGGATTATTTCTGTTCGAAGTGGTTACTATTTTGGAGGAGTTTTCGACTTCGTCTTATTGCTACCAGACGACTTTCCATCGACGAAAGTGCCGGTGAGTGTGTAGGGAGTCGTTTTTTCAGAACTGAGTCTAAACCATTTCCTCACTACTAATAATCGGATTACTACGTGACTCTAGCCTCTTTCATCATTCACAGAAAATACACCCAAATGGTTTTCTGTATAAACTGACCTCAGCTTGTTCACTGGGAATGTAAATTTTTCCATCCATTTATCCTTATCACTGAAAACTGATACTTTTTCTTCAGAATACTTAACCAGATCATCCAAACCTCATCCTAAGTGCGGGTGATTGTAGCTGCTTGAAAGGAAGTTGTAAGTCAGGTGCAATGACTTAATGACAAAACTAACTTACTCTGCATAACTAAACTATACAGGTTAATCATTTGTAAAGCGACGAAGTTTAGCTTTGTTGTTCCTTATTATGTAAGTGCCTGAAAAAATATAAGGTATTTGACTTTGTTTTTCAGAAATCTAAATCCTGTTGAGAAAATTTTTAGTCATGAAAAAATAATCCCACAATGGTAACATAAAAATCACAAGCAAAAACCCTTGCAGCTCTAAATAAAGGAGATAACTGAAGTGTAAAGTGAAGAAAACTTGTGAAAGTATGGTTAATTTAAAGCAGGTAACGGTGTAGATTTGTTCGTCGGGTATAGGTTTTTGGATGTTGAAAATTCGGATGTGAAAATACTCAAGCCATGCAATCCTCACTTAATCAGTTAGCAGTCAATTTCCGGAGGTATGATTTGTAACGTGGGTCTTATAAATGTAAGGTAATTCTTCAAAACTTCAAGAAGACTGTGCCTATTCCCAAACTTATTGACGAGTCTCTAGCATTGGTCAAAAAGTTCGTATATCTAGACCGTTGTGTGAGTGCTGTTGGTGACGTTACTGACGATATCAATCTGGGAAGACCAAAAGTCGGGAGAAGAGCTTATGCCACTCTGGATCTCCTTTGGCACCATTGTGACATTTACCAGACAGAGATAGTTTATACTTATCCCCCCTATAGGTATCAATTGCATAAATGGAGTTAGCACTATTCAAAGATGAGGACGACCGTGACTTTATTCCAGATGTCGCAACACTAATCCTCACGCCTTTCCAAGCAACCTAATTAGTCCCCTAAAGGAAATTTGCCACCATCCATCTAAAGTGCAAATTGATAATTCATCTTGACCCAGTAATCTGTTGTGCTTCTGAATTTGAAGTTCCATGCAGCCCTACTTGTTCTTAAAGTCAGTCGTTACCCGTTAAGTATGACAAAACAATCTGTCTGACGTTTCTGGGGCAAGACTAGTTGAACTATCCTTCGAAAAGTGCCGTCTTTTGAAACATCGTTGGATATCACTAAATGACATTTCATCAATACCATTTTTTTGATGCACTCGTTCTGTGCCAATAATTTGCGACCCTGACCGTCAACGAAACTTTTGTCCTGTTCCTTTCTCTGCCTCACCGGCTGGAGTAAAAGTACCAGTTTCGCAGATCCAGGCACAGTTCCCAAGTTGATAGCTTACTCCAATCGTCAGGTTTTCTGATCCGTACAGTAACGGTGCGAAATCTTGCATAGTAATTTATGTTGTTTATCAAACTTGATGTTCCCTGGAATAGGTTATTCTGCTGCCATTGTTTGTAAGCGGCCTGTAGAAACCTAGTGATTATGAGAAAGACATTTCTTAAACTAAAGGCCAATAACATTAACTCTTTCGTCAATGTGGAGCTCAAAATACGTGGATGAGTATCATAATATCATTTGTATAATCCCCGAGCATCCCCTTTGCGTCCTCTCAATTTCGTAGACAACATCGCCGAAAAAGGCACTGAGTAGGATTTACCTGACAGCGGCTATATACGCGTGTCCATATGAGAATATTTCGAGATTGCGAGCGAACTCTTTCCACTCCTAACTATACCAGGGCATTTAGGAGCAGATTTTAGTCGTTTACAAATACTTAGGTCATAAACGGTTTTACCATGCTGTTAGACATTTGTATTACAAATTGGTTCTTACGTATCTCATTCTTTTCATTTTAGAAGATCTATTTATCTAAAGAATTTTATCATCCTCACGTAGACTGGATTACCGGAGAAGTAAACACGTACATGGAATTTCCTGTATGGAATCCAGACAAGCACCATATCTGGCATATTCTTCATCATTTTAAACGAATGTTAACTAGCCCAACAAGTATCATGGTTTCAGCACTTGCTGAACAAACTGCTTGTTTTAAAAACATGAGAGATATTAAGTATGCTAATCCAGAAGCAGCTAATGCATTGATTCATCATCCAGAAGAATTCGATAACCAAGCTAAAGCTTGCGTTTCTAAACTCTCTGTGTGGATGCAATCTTCACAGGATATCCCTTCATTGAAGTAAGTAATTATATAGGATCTCATACTGAAAATATTGACTAACATATTCCGTCGGTATTGCTACAAAAGTATTACCTGACTGTAAGTTCCACAGTTTGGGCAGCTGGGAAGTGAAATTCTCCCTTATACCCCTAAAAGCATATCAGATCAATTTGTTCACTATTTAGCTGTAAGTATATTAAACACAAGAAGAAATTTCGAATTTGTAGAAAGTTTGAAAGCGTTTGAACCTGTTCTACCTGCATTGGTTTTGAGTTATACTCAGTATCTCTAAGTTTTGAATGTTGTATGATAAGTTAATCATTTTCCCAATATTATCGATAAGTGTACACTATATACTTGAGACTATTTACTTTGACCAAAGTATGATTTTAAGATATACAAGAAGTATTTTTAATCTCATTGCATCCTCCTAGTTATAGAACATGGTCTGAGTCTAATCATGTGATTCGGAACGATCGGAAGTCTTTTACCGCGCCTCAATCAGTTGCTGATAGCAA